AAGTTTTGTTGAAGCAAAAAGATAAGCTGTCTCTTTTTAGAAAAAAAGTGAGTCACATGGCAAAATCACTGGCAGGCGCACACAAACCGTGAAAAGGCACTGGAAAAGGCACTGGGAACAGACACGGCACATGGCAACAGTAAGAGCAGTAGCTGGAACTGCTCTTCATCTGTCTTGCTTTCCTGACGTCTGCTGTCCTCGCTCGCAAGGTGTCGATGCGAAAGAGTTGTTGAGCACAGAAGATTAAAACACAGAGTACTACGGATGAAGATGTTAGACTTGATACTTACGAGCCAAAAATATGCAAACGTCACACCTGTAGACAGTAGATGGACAAAGTATTCAAACCCATGTATCAATAACTGTCGCCACCTGACCCCCAAAGGTCAATGTTGAACATAACTTGATTGAATTTGTGTTTCCAGGGTTTGATTTGTTTCGTCCATTCGCCGAAACATTCTTGCAAGACCTCTAACATTGAGCTTTGGGGTAGAAGGGGTCCTCGTGGTTGAAAGGGTTTGAATATTTCGTCCATCTACGGTTGTGCATCCGGTTGTGACATGTTTAGATAAAATGAGGTGTAGCAACGGTACATATGATTTATAGATTCAATTTGCACATTCATATGCGTTTATCTCCAGAAGGGGTGCTGTGGGGGGAGTGAATTTCACCCTTCCCACCCCACAAAACACTGCAAATAGCGTGGTTTTGTGTATGCAAGGGCACTGGTGACTAGTTCTGAAAACAAAAAATGTTTCAACTAAAACACAAATCACAAAATGTTCAGCAGGTCTTTTTGTCATGCAAGCTGCTTAAACAAAAAAACACTTCAAAAAGCAAAAACCGATTCTGGGGAAGTCTTGGGGAACGGGGGGTTCCCGCCAAGAGTCTCTGAGGATTGTTTTTGTGTTTCCTTGGTTTTCGCTAACTCTAGGCCCCCTCCTCCTTAGGAGTCTCCAACTATTGGTTTGTATTGTTGTTTTTGGTTCATTAATTTTTGGGTTCCAGAGATCTAGAATCTAGAGGAAAGCTTTTGACATGACAGCAGCATATGAAGGATCATGTATGAGCAATTCGACTTGTCCAGGCATATCTCTTTCAGGAGATCATTGACCTCGGGCTTAAAGGTATATATAAATTAAATAGAGTTATATTATAGATATAATAACACCGTTAGAACCACAATATTGTTGTCGACCAATCTACTGTCCTGAGATCCAGACGAAAGCTTTTGGAAACGACAGCTTTTATAAGCGCCGATAGAAGTAATTCGTCCCAGAGATCTACTGTAGAGGAAAGTTTTTGACATGAAAGCTTTTATACAGCTTCTCAAATACAAAAGCTATCATTCCCAGAGATCTGGAGAAAAGCTGTTGAAATGAAAGGTTTTACAGTTTTACACTTATATATATATAAGGTGTCATTTCCAGCGATCTAGAAGAGAGCTTTTGACATGAATGTGTTTTTAAATATCAAGCTTCTTAAATATAAAAGTTATCACCCCCAGAGATCTAGAGGACTGCTTTGGAAATGGCAGTTTTTATACATAAGCTTGGTTTGTTCAAAAATATGAATGATCATTCCCAGAGACTACCTTCAAACAAATTTATTTGTCGACTCAAAAAAGTCTTTGTACCTAGTTCCCAGCCCGTCCAGGGCAAGAACACACTGTAAGACACATTGTGTTATAGCATTTGCTGTCTTAAATTCACAGCCAGCAACACCCGCTCTCGCTACATAATTAGATATTTTCATCATACCTATTTTTGCTCCAGTCCTAGAATTCCATGTTCCCTGGTTTCAGCGGCCGGCATGCGTGAGGCCATCCACAAGTGCAAAGACCAGCGGCTCTGGAAGGATGCCTTGCAACTTCTTGATGATCTCGGTTTGGAAGGACAGAGTGCGGCACTTGATTTGACCCCTAAAGTGGCAAGAGCTGCCACTTGTCATGCAACTTTTGAGGAGCACAAGAAGATACAGTAAGCCCATTGAAGTTCATTGCGCAGGCTTTGAGCCAACTGTCTTCACCTTCGGTGCGACTTTGGGTGTCCTTGAGAAAACATCCAGATGGAAAGAGGCTGTGGCCGTTCTTAGCAGCGCGCTTGTGCAAGATGTTCAAGTCAATTTGACGCTGGGTCTTCCAAGGATTTGCCACTGACCGGCGTCAAAAGTCAACAGAACAGGTGCCTTTGGGAGATGTTGTTTGTACAAACCGTGAAGGAGAAAATCGTAGTGTTTTTTCAGTGAATTGTGGTCACATCACCAAAACCTAGGTGTTGAGCCAATTCATTAGATTTGTGTTCAGACGAGGCCTACAAAGGTTTAGCAACCAACCAAAGAAACAAATAACAAACAAAACATACAAAGTACACAAAAACGAGCAATGTTTCACAAGAAGTGAGGCTACTTTAGGATTAGGATTGTTTTTGTGTTGCCCTCATTGTGTCTCAAACATTGTTTGCTTTGTCGATGTGTTTGCTTTTGGGGTTCTTTGGTTTTGTGCTTTTAGGTTTCTTGGTAGTTCCATCCTTGGACTTGCATGAGACACTCTTGATGAAATACATGTGACTTTGTTTATTTTCCTGACACGGTTGCAGAGTTTTAATTTAAGGGTTTGTACAACGGTTTTTTGCCCGAAGGTTTCTGCAACCAAAAAAGCACTCACTTCATTCATTGCGTTCAGGGTCTTCGATCGCTTGTTTGTTGACCATTGGTAAGCTCTTGTTCCTCTTATTCAACTCTTTCATCGATGATACAACTGATTTACAATATCATATATGTTCATATAACTCTTCCTCTCCCTCAGCATTCTTGCCGGCAAGCTCTTCCCAGTCTCACAAGACTCTTCAACTGCTTCAGTAGAGTTTTTGCGTGCCTTGCTTCGCTTTTTCTATATTCTCAACCGCGATTTTTTGAATGAGCACCAAAAAGGAGGGCGGCTTCAACCTTCACAGGTCTTCTTGGTCAAGTTGCTTTGTTGTGTGCTTTGTAGAAAAAGGCCCTATTAAGAAACTTCATCTTCAAGTAAGGTGAATGCATGACCTAGTAACGATGCAACTAGTTACTTCTTTTGGTGTTTTGTCACGGTTTTCCAAAATCTAGACTAGATGTATTTGCCTTGCTTAAACTCTTTCCACGCGTTCAAAGGAAGGCTGCTTCAATCTTCACAAGGTTTTTTCGTACTCAAATTGTCTTGTTTGGTTTAGCTTTTTCAAAAGGTAAGCAGCTAGACTAGGTGCAAGAAGTTTATTAGCTTTCATTAAAGGCAGCAAGTTATATATATATATTATATATGTATATTTTGGTGTTCTTGTTATGGTTGTTGTTCTTCTTGGTTTGGACAAGATGCCAGCCAAACTCATCAGCAATTAAGTCTGTGTTATTTGGACTGCTTCTTGCCTATGATACATAAAACTATTCAATTACCGATGCTTCTACTTACTGTAAACCGTTGTTTTCCAAGGACTAGGAAGAGCTTGCTGAGGAGGTTGGAGAGGCAATCATTAGAGAGAACGCTCCCCTCAACAAACAAGAAAACACGTATATAAACCAAAAGACATGTTTGATATGATGATTGCAACACCCCAAAGAAATGTAGTTATAAACATGCTGCCTTGATAGAAGTTACAGAAACGTCCTGCACCTAGTCTAGTTCCTTACCTAGTCTAGTTGCAAAACGATCGTGTGGTGATGAGAGGCTGCAACCTTACAAGATTCAACTGCAAAACGTTTTGACCAGTAGCGAGAACAAATGAAAACAAATGGCCAGGCATTTAGTGATATCGGACAGAGAACGATCAAGCTGATAATTCTGGTCATTGGTATTGCACGTTGGTAGTGGGCAAACAAAGATCGAGCCGTTAATTGCTATCATTGACATTGCACATGTTGATTGGGCAGGGAAATTTGGAAACATTACTGTAACTGCTTTCAATTTGTTCATTGTGTTTAAAGGGTTTTTGAACGGTTAAACTAGTGTGTGCTCTCCCAGCACACCCGCTCCCAAAAACAACGGGGTGGTAGGGCAGAGATTATTTGTTCAAATGTGTCATTGGACCTTGAGGGAATGATGGGGTGCTCGGGATGCGTATGACCATGGATGATGTTAACTAGGGTGGAGTCACTCCAGAGTGGGCAGGAGTGTTGTTCGGGTTGCTGTCGCAAAGTCCGCAGCAGTGATCCTGTTGCCAGATTTGCCACAGCTTAGGATACTTTACAATGCTGCTCTCAGTGCTTGTGCCAAAGGACGACAATGGCAATGTGCGCTAAGCTTCATGAAAGAGCTGAGGCAGGACGTGAGGCCGGAACGAAGAAAGGCATCGGAAGCGTCGTGGTGTGGATCAGCATTGAAGTCCTGTTGGTTCCCTTGTTGTGTTGGGGGTCTTCTCCACAAATCAGGCCCAAACGCATATGGACACGCCGTCGCCATGTTTTGGGTGGGTCCCAGACAAGCCGTGAATCGGAGAGGCTACAGCCTGACATTGTAACCTACAGTTCTGGCATCAGTGCTTGTGAGAAAGCTGCTCGTTGGACAGAAGCCCTAAGCCTGCTCGAGATGGCCTCGGATCAAGCGGTGCAGGACACCAGATTAGTTAAAGAATGTTAAAGATAGACTTGGAGCATTTCACATACACCAGGGGAGCTTTCACATCATACATCATGCGTTGCACTTCCTTTAGCAAGTTGGTTCGGTTGGTTTGTCCGAATTGATGCTCCCTTCGGACATATTTTCCGGAAGCTCTATATATATTTGCCGGCGGCACGCAGGCCGATGTTATTGCCTTCAATGCCGCGATCAGTGCATTGGAGAAAGCCAGCAGGTAAGATACATAAAGAATCATTTGCCTCTCGCTACGTGGAGTTCTCCCTAAAATAAACGAAAACCTTAAATCATCAACCGAACCGCGCTCTGTTGGGATTGCGAGGGCCAGCATCGGGCCAGCCACGAATACGAACCAGCGTCCGGCAGGGTTTCCCATGACTGATATTGGGTTGAGAGGTTTGTGCAACAAATTCCTCTATACGAGAGATCAAACTTCCATGATTTGGTGAGGTTTGACCCACTGCCACGCTTGTGTGGTATCATGTGACCATGTGTTACTGTTCTGTTTGTTTAGTCGCTGTTGTCTCTGGTTCACCTGCAGGTGGGAGGCAGTCTTCTCCGTATTCAATACTATGAGCATGATCGAGATTCAGCCTGACCTCATCTCCATGAATGCTGCTAGGCTTCGACACCGGACACCAAGCACACACAACCCTTGGAATGAAGAAGACTTGAGAATGTTTTGGGTTTCTTAATTGAATGATATCCCCACAGGTGCCCTGGTCTTGAAGGGGAAAGCTTTGTTGATGTTAAGCGATCATGGTACCCTAGCAGGATGAGGCAGGAGAATGCAGGTGGTTGTAGGAGCCAATGCGGTGCAAAGGTTTCAGGAGCACCCCGCCATTCCACAAACACCATATGAGGCGGATTACAGGCAAACACGAGCATGACTAATGCCATCACGATATTTGAACACATGCTCACTGCTCACCCAGCAAATTGAGACTCCAGCTTAGGTGGGTAGGAAACCTGAATGAGAACAGAGCACCTGGGCATCCGGAATCTTGGCGAACATTGTTCCCTTCAGCCTTAATACTACTGACTGTATGCATACATCCAAATGCATGTCAGACTACTCCTCCTAGGTCTGCAAAATACCTCTTGAGAAGGTGTTTGGGGTGGGTTTGGAGGGAAAAATTTCTAAACCCCTCTTGGGGATTCTTTTGATGAACCCCAACTGATGGTCACCATGCTGTTCGACCCAAGCCATTCACCATTTTGAGGCTGCAATCAGCGCGTGCGAGAAAGCCAACGAATGGCAGAGCGCGTTGAATCTCTACAGTGCAATGCAGATGCAGCGTGAATCGGGCGACATCATCACTTTTGGGGCGACCATCAGTGCGTGTGAAAAAGCCAGCTGCTGGCAAGAAGCCTTGGCGCTCCTAGCCATCCTGAAGCAAAGGAGCGAATGTTGCAGGACTAAAAAAATGTTATTAAATAAAGACCAAACATTGGCACTGCCAAATCTGGTGGGTGTCTTCGTTTGTTGAGGGCCGCTGTTTTTGAGATGTAGAGCCCACACGTGCGGTCCACTTTGCCACTCGTGGACACATCAAGCTTATGCCCTACATCACCTCCACGCCATGAGGTCTAGGAAACTTGAAGGACCGAGTACAAACACGAACAGGTATCTCCCCAGTTCTGTCCCCGGTGCCCCCATAATATAAAATAAGATAATAAAATGATGGGGGCATAAATATATTCTCTTCGCGCTAGAATATGACCTGGCCTATAAATCGGCCGGGCTGGGTTTTAATTCTGCCCTGCAGGGTTTCTTTTCTGTTCTGCAGGTTATATTTTTTGCCCTGCAGGGGTTTCTTTCCTGCCCTGCAGGTTCTTTCCTGCCCTGCAGGGTTTTTTATTTGCGCTGCAGGGGGTTCTTTCCTGCCCGCAAGGTTTTTTTCCTGGCCTACAGGGCTTTCTTTTCTGCCCTGCAGGGTTTCTTTCCTGGCCTGCAGGGGCTTCGTTTCCTGCATGGTTTCTTTCTTTCTGTGCAGGGGTTTCCTTCCTGCCCTGCAGGGGTATGATTTCTATCCTGAGGAAGGGGCTTGCCTTCTGCCATGCAGGGGGTTCTTTCCTGCACTGCAGGGTCTCCTGTCCACCCTGAGGAAGGTCCTGGTCGCACTACCGCTCTTCGATCCTAGGGAGGTTTCTTTTCGACCTTTCCACCCTCGCCAGGCTTCTGCGTCAACATGCGGGAATTTCTATTTCACCCTGCCGGGGTTTCTTGTCTACCCTGCAGGTGTCCTTTGCCAGCTGTGCAGTGGTTCCCTTCAATCCTTGCGGAGGTTTCGTTTCTCCCCTGCGAGGTTTCTTTGCCCTGCAGGGGTTTCTTTTCTGCCCTGCAGGGTTTCTTTCCTGCCCTGCTGGAGGTCGAATCTTTTGAGTTAATTACACGAAAAAGGTGGAGCCGCTTTTGTGGTGCAGCTTCCTGGAAGATACTGTACCCTACTACCCGTCGAGTGTGAGCTCTCACATTCCTGCGAGCGTATTTTTCGACCACGGACCCTCAGTCAGAGCGCTGAAAAAAGAGAGCGACGAGGTTAATGGAACGATTTTCTTAGACGGGTCGAAGAAGGACCAACAGCTATGTCAACAAAAGAATACCAAACGCTGCAAAAAACCTTAAAACCACTCAAGAAAGAGTCCTAAAACGAATCAAAGAGGAACCCTAAAACAGGTCAAAAAGGAACCCTGCACAGGGTGGACAAAGAATTCTGCGCGATGGACTCTAAGTGAAAAAAGCGCACCGCTCAGGGTGAAAAAGGTCAGTGTAGATAGGCTCCTTACAGTCGTCTCCCGTGTTTTTGTACCATTCTAATATATATATATATATATATATTATATACACTCACTAGTCGCCCATTGACCTGTCAAGGGCACTGGCACGTTTCTTTGATCAAGAGGCAGTTGGCATATTAAGGCGGTTGCCCCAATTGCCGCAAGCTTGGAGCCGTACTGTAAGCGCGACTTACGTGATGTTGCGTATGGTGAAACTCCTGACGGCAGGATTGGAACTCTATCCTCGTCCATGCATGGGAGGTTTCTTTCTTTTGCAAGGCTGTGGCTTGTCTACGCATCTCCAAAAAAACGTTGTTTTCTTGAAGAATCTTTGTCATCAAGTACTTTGTGGTGGGGTTAAGTCGATTTGTCTTGCAAGAATTCAACTTTTTTGGCTACGTGGACAAAGCAGAAAAAGAATCCTGCACAGGGTGGAAAAAACCCTGCGGAGGGTTAGACAAAGCCCATGTGTGACAAGGTAGAAAAATGGAAAATGAATCCTGCACAGTGTGGAACAAGAACAGTGCGCGATGGCTTCTGGCCGAGTGGTGTCCCATTGCGGGCCCCGAGGGTGGAAATGAAGCCTGTGCAGGGTGGAAAGGGAACCCTGCACAGGGTGGAAACCGAACCCTGCACAGGGTGAGAAAGATTTCCTGCACAGTGTGGAAAAAGAACGACCCCTGCACAGGGTAGAAAAAGACCCTGCACAGGGAAAAAGACCCTGCACAGGGCAGAAAAAGAACCCTGCACAGGGAGAACCCTGCACAGGGTGGAAAAAGAACCCTGCACAGGGTGGCAAAGGAATCCTGCACCGGGTGGAAAAAGAACCCTGCACATGGTGGAAAAGGAACCCTGCACATGGTGGAAAAAGAATCCTGCACAGGGTTTTAAAAACATGCGTGACAAGGTGGAAATAGAACCCAAGCAGGGCGGAAAAAACACCATGCCCATGATGATGATTCGGCCTGTGGCAAAGGCTCTGGAGGAAGTGGACCATGGGGACCTTGAACAAAGATGCAAAAAGATGCCTAGAGACTGTTCGTTAGCAACAGCACCCCTGCCAGAATTGAGTTACAACTCCGTAGGTTTTTTTTAATCAGCAGCTCAACCGTCTACATTGGTCCTTCAAGAACATGGTGAGCAAAGCCAATCCCCCGAAAAAGGGTGATGTACTTGGTGAACTTCATTTCGCCCTCCAGGCAGCCACATCAGAAGAGCAGGGCCTTGTTGGGCTCTGGTGTGGTGCCCTACAGCGCAGCTGTGAGTGCTTGCGGTTGGGCTTCCAAATGGCAAGAAGCGATGTCGTTGCTGGAGGTCAAGGGCGTTGAGCAAATCTGTCGAGATCGCTTCACACTTGCTCTTTGTTTTGTGGGGCCCTCTCTATGACTCTATGGCTCAAAAAAAATAAAGAGACACCACAGATTAGGTGAAGGTGCGCCTGCTTGTGGGGGTTAGTGGCATCCTGTCAGTCATGGCATGTCATGGCCAATACTTAACCCATATTTGCATTCTAGACTTTGTTCCAGAAGGACAGTTATATACACGTTTAGGTCGTTTTTCCAAGTCAGACTTGGTTTGTTGGATGAGGGTGTTATACACCTTGCCAGTAGGAGTTGATGTGTCTTTGGAAGCCTGACGTCATTGCATTCTGCGCTGCGATCAGTGCCTGTGAACGCGCTGCGCAATGGACGAAAGTTCTCGAGCTGCTGAAAGACATGCGCCTCAGGCAGGGGCAACTGACCTGGCCAATAGGTGCATGGCTCAATCCTTCAGTTTTGAACCATTCTGGTTGAGGAGAACTTCCCTGCGTAGCCTGGAACATGTCTCACAGTTTGCTACCCTCATGATCTCTCATGCATCCTCATGCTGTGTTGCTTCCAGTGGTCCATTTCTTTCTTGGCTGGACCTCAAGGACCGACTGAGAGTTTGAAGGACCTCGAGCTTGGAAGGCCAATCCAAGGCTCTAGAGCACCAGAACCTCAATACCCTTAAATTGGTGTTTGACTTGTTGGGCTGAATGAACATTGGGTCAAAGTTTTACAGCCAAAACACAGCCAATGTCAACATTTGATCGAAAAACTGACTTTTTGTAGCGAGCTCTAAATCCGGAATGAGGCATTTGGAAGCTGACCTGATGACCTACAACGCTGCGATCAGCGTTTTGGACAAAGCTGGGAAATGGGAGGAAGCACTTTCCTTGTTGGCACTGGCGTTGCGCAAGAAGATGCCGGCCGCTCCTTGGTCTGAGTCCATCCACCCCGAGAGAATCTCAAGAAGAGGCCGTAGAAAAGACCTCGCAAAATCAATGTTCTAAGCTTTAAGGACTGTTGATCTTACAATGGGGTCTTCATTTCAGGGAGTGCACACGAAATTAGATTGGGGACATCCACATCATTCTGGAAAGCAGAGGGGCAATCCCGCAGCTCGAAAAGATCTTCCCTGCAACATGACCCAACCAGCGGAACAAAAGCCTTCCTGACGTCCAGTGTCATCCGCTTGGCAAACTCGGGAGTTACATTCCCCAACAAACTCACCACCTGAAACATATCGAGGTTGGCTTTGTATCCGGTGCTTGAAGAATGGAAAGTCCCCAAAGTCCCCAGGCG